GAAGAATTGATGCCCAAGCATTTGTTACAACTCGATCAACAACCACAAACAAATTCAACAGTGACCAGTTTCTAAACACAGCCTCTATCAGTACACCGATTCAGCTTCGAAGCTGTATCTTTGGAACACATTCCTCCTTGGTACATACCCCTAGAAGTTTTGTGATCACTTGATCATTTCCAGTACCATTGCTCATTTCGCTTTCGCTCGAATCATTTGACTAAACTTCGTGACACACGCAAACCAGGTAGCTGTGACCACTTCCTAAACACAACCTGTATCAGCAAACGATTCAGCTTCAAATCTGTATCAGTGGAACACATTCCACCTTGGTACATAATCCTAAACCACTTATTCATCGGGAGAACTATTCTTCACTTTGATGTCGTCTGAGTGATTATATCAAACTTCGTTGTCTACTTCTCTGCATGCCTATCGGTTTTATAATCGTTTTTACGTGTACTTACTTAGCTGTAGATATACAAGTATACATACAGGCTTATACCATCCCTATCATTCCACTTTGCCCATTGATTTGTGACATGTTGTCCCTTCCCTTATTCGTTCTTAGCTGGGTATTACCCCAGACTGTTCAGTATGACTCTTTTGTTCCAGATACGGTTGGCTTGGACCTGTTAAAGGCTTGGGGTCTAAACCCAGAATGGAAAATTTTGGCCTTGGCAGTGGATGCTGGGCTTGGCTGTTTCGACGGTTTTGGTCTGCATGCGTCCGCATCCCGGCAAACGTATGAACTCGCTGTACTCCCTCCTATTTATTCTTATCCTTATGACTCCATTTTCCCCTCTCTATTGTCCGACATTTTGTTCTCTCCGTATCTTCTCCCATTAGAGCCGCACTCCGTTTCTCCACGATAATGGGGTAACAGTTACTTCCATTTCGATTGATATACTTATACAGCACATTCTTCCATCCTCCACACCAACGTTTGTGACCTCGTCCGTTTTGTGTTCCATTTACACAGCGTTTTCGTTCTGCTCCCTTACCATCTCCAGTATGTACGTCTTCCAAGTATTTTATCTATTTACCTGTACTGACGTTGTGCATATGATTATTTTGAACATATTATCATGCCTTGTGCATGCTTCACGGGTTTCGTGAAATATACATTATTATTTTTATTATTATTAAAAAGGCGGCTGCTATTTCGCGTGCCAACGGATGACACCGTAATCAGTCGTCGGCTTAGTCTTTCCCCGAAACGTATTGGCCTTTCCACGAGCACGGGTGGATACATTTGGCAGCATCTTTACAAAAACCATGCGTAGTACCAACAATAGTTCTGACTGTTGTTTGGCGATTTAGGTCTACGGCAACTGATCGATTGCGGTTTTCCCCTAAGGCGTGCGCCTCTAGATATTCTACCCGTGCTGGAGTCGCTTAGATTTTCGATGAAAGCCTGGAAGAGGCCGGCGACGGATGTAGCTGGAGGGACGGCGGGGTAACCGCGGCGACCTTCGGTTGACAGTGTTGCATTGCATGGCCTGTCATAACCGTCAAACGCTCAATGGACATGTCTTTCGCTGGCGCAAGAAAAAGGACGCCTTCTGGTAGCGTTTGTAACCGCAGTTCCCTAAGGAATGCGTCGTCGTGCGGGATGATGCCCATTTCGTTACACATGAGCCTCCAAAGTTGTTAAGGCTTACGGCTGCCCAAAAGCATGTCCTGGAGTACGCGTCTGATTCGCTTTTTGTTAGATCTTCCGTGCGTTCTAGTATAGCGTCCCGTAGAGATTCGAAAGGCCCATCATCGGGAGGTTCCAAAACTTCATCCCAAACCCCAGCTACTAAGTGTTCATGCAACGAAGAAACAACGTGGTGAAACTTGGTCTTTGAAGATTTAATGTTCCTAGTCGCATATTGCAATTCCAGGACCGCAACTCATGCCCAGGGGTTTGATGCCTAAAAGTGAGGGGTTGGAAAATGATGGCCAACACGAGAGCAGGTTTGTCGGATAAACCTAATGAATTCATGACGAAAATCGAAACATTGAATAATCATACATAAAATATGCAATCCCAAATAAATCTATCAAAGAAATATAGACTTCAAATGACGATAATAGTAAAGTAAAAATACCAGAGAAAATTTGCTAAAAATTTCTAAAAGAATAAAAGATGCTTCAAAAATTGCACAGATATGGAAGAGAATTACCAAAGTCTAATTAGTTTCCTAAATGAACTGAGGCGGCTGTATGCCAGCCCACCAATTTGATGAGTTAGTGGGTGCTCATGTTCGTCAGAACCTGTCACCAATGCTTGCTCTCATTCTTTCTGGATATCCTTCCCAAGGAAAAAC